AATGGCTATGGAAAAGGAAATCTTCGGAAAAGGGCTCAGGCGAAACTGAAAGCTCAGATGAGCAGGTAAGTTGGCAAAAGGATGCTTTTATCGTCTTCAAAGTTCAAACTAATGAAAATGACAGTGAAAATTAACATATGTTAACTGAACATGTTTATCTTTGTTAACTTCTTTAATTTGATTATAGAAAGACTTGTTTATTTCTTGAAAATTATTGAACTTCAATGGATTAGTATTTATGTGATGACATTGATGATAACAAATGCTTGATTTTCCATTATCTACATTATGATTTGCTATAAGAATTTACGTAATTATTATGTAGTCCCTTTGGACTTTGGAATTTGTAATTTACTACTAGTAAGTGATTGACTGGTGGACTATTGAAGAATAACACATATATTGTACCATGTGGCTCAGTGGCTGTATTTTGTTCTTCTAAATGCATCAGGACACAACAAAGGAATCTCCAGATCATCACCAAGAGCAGTCATCAGAAGCTACTTCAAATTCTGCTTCCACAGACGATGAAGTTCAGGAAAGTCTAAAGTGTCTGACAGCAAAGTTATCAGCAGCCCTTGTTAATATTAGTGCCAAAGAAGACCTTGTTAAGCAGCATGCCAAAGTTGCTGAAGAAGCTGTTGCAGGTTTTCAGAAATTATACTCCTGTTTCACTTTTACTTGCTACACTATCCTGCTATAGATATTTATTATTGCTTTCTCTACTTCCATTTTTGGCAAGCTGTCATTATTTCTCATCTCTAAAACACATAAACCCCCGTATTTTCATCATTTCTTTCCAACTTCTCATACTTCTTCATCTTCTTTCTCCTACTTCTTGTACATTGTTTACCACCCCTACAACTTTACTCTTTGATTATGTAAAAACTCTAAAGGAGTAACTAAAAGTGAATGGGAGGTGTATATTTATGGAGTAAGGAACAAATGTATCCTTACTTTTATGTTATGTACTACGTATAATTTATGTGGAGACAAATATAGCCCACTTAATCAGTAAAAGTTGACGCATTGATTCGGAAAAAAATCTTTCTTGTTACCCCACAACAACAAACAACAACATCCCAGCCTTAGTCCCAAAAAGTTTCGTGGTCAGTTAACATGAATCAATACATGATAACAGAGCTCTTTCTTGTTACCCCATGATTATTAAATTGGTTTGGTATAGCTTGCTTTCCACTGTCCTCTACAATACTTCGTAATGATTATGATGGAAGTGTAAGACCTTTTTCCATCCGGTCTCCTCAAACATTATCCACTCTTTATTGAGGTCTTCATCAATGATAGGCTGGGAAAAGGCAGAAAATGAGGTAGTTGCTTTAAAACAGCAACTTGAGGTAGCTGAGCAACAAAATGTGCAACTTGACGGAGCTCTCAAGGAATGTGTCAGGCAGTTGAGAAATGCCAAAGATGAGCAGGAAAAAAGAATTGCAGAAGCTATATTAGAGAAAAACATGGAATGGGAATCTAGCAGAGGTGCACTTGAGAAAGAGCTAGCTGAGCTCCGGTTAAAAGCAGTGGCTTCAGAAGCTGTTTATGCTTTATCTGACGATCATGATTTTCTCCAAAAGCTTTCACTCCTAGAGAAAGAGAATGAAAATCTCAAACTCCAACTACTTTCTAGAACCAAGGAGTTGGAAGTTAGAACGGTCGAACGGGACTTAAGCACCAAAACAGCAGAAACAGCTAGCAAACAGCAACTTGAGAGCATAAAAAAATTGGCCAAACTTGAAGTAGAGTATCGAAGACTTCAAGCACAGTCTCGCAAGCCATCTATATCCAATGTAAATAAATCTTGTGCTGCTTCTACGGATAGTCGATCCGAAAGTGGGGAGCAACTCAAAAGAGGTGAATGCGATCCAAGTGGCTCAGACCATTGGGTTTCAGCACTTATTTCCGAGCTTGATCAATTCAAGAACGATGAGTCTTTGTCAAAAAACATATCAGCCTTAACTGTAGAGATAGACATTATGGATGATTTTCTTGAAATGGAAAGACTTGCATCGTCACTTGGTGAGAGCAATAAGGAAGCGGCTGACGAGTCACCCACAGCTAATGGAGAGGATGCTTCAGCAGCGGAGTCCGAAATTATGACTCTACGAGTGGAAAAGTTAGAGCAGAAGTTAGAGACAATTGAAGCTGAGAAAATCAAGCTGGAAGGTGCATTACATGATACGCAGGACGACCTTAAGGCATCTCAGTTTCAGCTTAAGGATGCAGAGATAAGTTTGGAAGTGCTGCGTAAGGAGCTCGATGAAGCAAATGACTCCAAAAAATCTCTAGAGTTTCAACTCTTTGGTATGGAAGTAGAGGCACAAAAGGTATCTGCAAGCGTCGACCCTTTGAAGTTAGAATTTGGAAGTGAACCGTGCTCCTTGTGTGAAGATGCGAAACAGAAGTGTCTGGAATTTGAGAATGAGAGGAAAAGAAAAAGTGATGATGTTGAACTAAATCATCCTCCAGGTTCATGTTCAAGTGACAAACCGAAAGTAAAGCAGGTTAGCAACTATAATTTCTATAAGGCCCCCCTTTGAAGAATTTTGAATCTTAACATAGTATCATGGCCTTTTAAACTCCTATAAGCCATGGAATCGATATGCTCCAACTAGACAATCCCATGTTGAGCAAATACAACAATATAAACTTACTTATAACGCATGGAGCCAAAGTCTTAATTAATATGGATTAGGAGGTAAGCGTACATTATTATAACATATGGTAAATTTGCAGGAAGATTTAGCTGTAACTGCCGCAAGCAAGCTTGCTGAATGCCAGAAAACGATTGCATCCCTTGGAAGGCAGCTCCAATCACTGGCCACATTGGAAGATTTCTTGACAGACGCCAGAAACCTTCAAGGACCCTTGAGTTCTCGCGGGGTTAGCTTGTGGAAGACACATTCTGATGAGACATTCAACCACAAACTTGATTCAGATCCTCTGGGAATTTCAGATCAGATTTCAACCCATTCCATGAATGGGAACTACGATGAATCTCCAGCATCTTCTTCATCATCTAATTCTTCAACAAATCATGTCAGCAATTCCAGAGGAAGGAATGGCTTTGGTAAGTTGTTTTCTAGGAGTAAAGATAGAACCCAATCATAGTTGTGGTAAATCTTATGAGGGACGTAGATTTTATATTAGTTGTGGTTGGCTAAAGCTATTTTGTTCTATGGTTAGAGCATGTTCAGCAGTAATCATAGTGTGCGCAATATTGTGCATGGGAACTTAGTGCCACCAGAATAGAAAAGAAATACTAAATACAAATATTCGTCTTTCATGTTACATATTATATATTTCCGATGATTGTTTTCCATAATATCAAATATCATATCTATAGACTACAATTGGTCATTATTGTAGTTTACTTTGTGAAGAAAAAGTAATCAAAAACATAAAAACTCAACTAAAATTAAGAATGATGAAATAAATTTCTAATTAGTGGTATTATCTTCATCCCACTAATACTGAGACATGATGATGGGGTATAGTTATTGAGAAAAATAGGCTTATATGATTGATATTAAATTGAAAAAGTAAGAATAAATTAAGAATAATTTAAAATCACACAAACTTTACCACATTTGGTATGTGACAATTAGGGGTGAGCATACAAAACCGTAACCGATTAACCGTGCAAAATAACCGAAAAATTGGTGTTTTTCAATTAACCATACCGTGTTTTTATAAATTTGTGTACGGTTAACCAACCGAAAGAAAAGACGGTACATGATAGGGTTACGGTTTTGAAATAAAATTACCACCGGTTAACTGTTAATACAATGTTGAGATATTACTTCTAAACTAATGTCACAGTCAAAGTATTGCGTGAGTATATATGGTCTGAGAACGACAACATGTGTTAATATTTGTGAGTAGTATTAGAGTCGGCAAAATGTGTTAATCATTGAAGCTATCTTTTTTTTGGAAGATAATTGAAGCTATCTTATTATTATTGATTAATTAATTTTTCATACAGCGCAACAATTGAGGCATGTTACAAACGGAAATGGTTTAATCCTACTCCTGTAAATAAACACTATATATGCACGCGTCAGTGCATAATTAATGCACAGAGTAATACGGAGTATATGGAAAAACCAACGCTCGTTAGTTTTTTTTAAAAACCAATGACTTAATTATTATTATTGATAAAGATGACAAGAGACATTACAATCATAAAACTCAAGAGACATTACACTTGTTAGTTTTATACGCAGTATTTCAATAATATCAACAGGAGGCTATTTTCGGTTTTCACGGGAGAGTGAAATCCCTGGGAGTAAATTGGATGTGCAACGCAATAAAAGCAATGCTATCATATTTTTTTGTTGTTTCAATGGTTTTTTGGTTAACCAATTAAATGAATTAATGGTTAACCTATATTACGGTTATATGTTACCCGGTTAACCGATGTCATGGTACAGTTATTGATATTATAAACATATTAACCGAAATCACGGTTAACCAAATAGTTGGTTAACTGAAATGCGGTTAACCAACCGTGCCCACTCCTACTGGCAATCTTAGTGGAAAGGCCAAAAAGAAAAGATGCAACAATATGGGAGTACAAAACTACAAATAAAATAGATGTCACAAAATTTAGTGTACCCATGAAAACTATTACTCCGCACATTAATTTTATCGAAGAATTTTCGTCAAAAAGAGTACTTAATATTTTGATATTTTACTGCTTAAGAAACAACATAAAATTTTAAGCATTTATTAGCCATGGTTATTTTCTATGAGCAAAAAAAATTATCAAACCACCAGAGTGTACAAGGGTAGTCCAACCCACACACTGTAGGATTCTTCCACCTTCTTTCTTGGAAGTTGCCAAGAGGCATCTCACACCTTCTTGGAAGGAGGTCTCCAACATATGAACATGGTGAAGATATGGAGATAACTATGGAAGCTTGGGTGCAACTTTCTCTTGTCTCCAAACCAGCCTATAAATAGAGTGTTCTATTGTTGTTCATATCATCAGTTTAGAAAGTGAGAAAAGTGTGTGAAGAGTGAAATACACTTAGAGTAGAAGTGTATTGGTGAGGATTGGTTTTTTGTAATAGTTGAGTGTGAGAGTTTGCTCCTCCTATTGTAATTCTGTTCTTGATATTGAATAGAAGAATTTTCCAATCCCAACAAGTGGTATCAGAGCCAGGTTGAGTTTTCATACACTGTTTTCTCATTTTCAGACAAATTTCTACAGGTTAGAAAATCGTGATTTTTCAAGTTGCTCGGAATCACGATCTGATCATACCGTTAGATTCGTCTCGTCGAGACGAGAAATCTGGTATTTTTGGGGAATTTTTTGGCCACCGGAAGAGGCCGTACGCGCCGCCCAAACGCGCCGGAAAACTGCCTGCGTCATCATTGCGTCATCACGCAGTCTAGAGGAAGAAGATGAGTCACGTCAGCCGCCACGTCAGCGCCACGTCAGCCCACGTAAGCGCCATGTCAGCCGCCACGTCATCCGTGTAAGCCATCCCCTGGGTGCCACGTCAGCGCCACGTGGCGTCAGCACAGTCCAGCTGTTGCCACGTCATCCACCTGCTGGTCTGCCCACTGGTTTGCTGCTTGAACCGGACCGAACCGGTTCAAAGTTGTGGAGGCCGGTTCACCCATTTCCAGACCGGTTTTGGACGAGGTTAGACCGGTTCCTACCATTTTCGGCCATTCCGGATCCAACGGTGAGCTCTGTTTGTCCAAATTCGGCTCCAAAAATAAGGTACGAGATATTTTGAGCGTTTTATTATGGATAAATCATCATCGGACACCATGATTGCGCTCACTTCCACAAATTACAATATGTGGAAGCCTCGGATGGAGGATTTGCTAAATTTGAGGGATTTAGCCGATCCTCTTGATAATAATGGCGTGAAACCGGATAAAAAGACGGATGAAGAATGGACAAAAATGAATAGAAAAACTGTCGCACAAATTCGACAGTGGATAGATCATAGTGTGTTCCACCATGTTGCGCAAGAACAAAGTGCTTACACACTATGGGAGAAGCTTGGTAGCTTGTATCAAGCAAAAACCGCCGGAAATAAGACGTTACTAATGAGGAGATTAGTAAACCACAAGTTACGAGAAAGTATTTCGGTGTCAGAACACACCAGTCAATTCCAGGATCTTGTGAATCAGTTGAGCACCACCGGATGGGTTCTCAAAGATGAAGAGCAGGCGATACTACTCTTGAGCTCTCTACCTGACAGCTGGGAGACTCTTGTTGTCACTCTCAGCAATTCTGCTCCCAATGGCAAAGTGACTATGCAGATGGTCACAGATGCCCTTATGAACGAAGAAGCCCGAAGAAAAGAAGCCGGGACTGAACAATCATATGCCTTCGTGTCAGAAACCAACAGGCGAGGGGGAGGCAGAAATGGAGGAAGAAGTCGATCTCGAGGTAGAGGTCAAAGTCAAAACAGAGGAAATTCTCAAGTTCGCGGCCGATCACAAGAACGAGGTATGTCCTGTGAAAACAATACTTGGTTTGAAGGATATTGCAACTATTGTGGTAATTATGGGCATAGAAAAAGAGATTGTAGAAAGTTTCTACGAGAGCAGCCACAGACGAGTCAAAATACTAGCCAAGAAGATGGTGTGACTATGGTTAGTTTGTCATCAGATGCGTGTCTTGTTACACATGGTGAACAAGAATGTTTACACGTAGGTACTCATGATGTTGAGTGGGTGATTGATACAGCCGCATCATTTCACGCTACTCCACACCAGAACTTATTCACATCTTATAAGTCAGGAGACTTTGGAGCTGTGAAGATGGGAAACACGAGTTTCTCGAAGATTGTTGGCATTGGTGATGTGCACATAACAACCAATGTCGGATGCGCACTTGTGTTGAAAGATGTTCGACATGTTCCAGATCTTAGATTGAATCTTATCTCCGGTACAGCTCTAGATCAGCAAGGATATCTTAACCGATTCAAAGAAGGTACGTGGAAGTTATCTAAAGGTTCCTTGGTTGTTGCAAGAGGCCATATTTGTGGTACTCTGTATAAAACTCATGCAAAGAGGAGTCACTTGGAGGAAGCAGATATATCGTGACATTCATTGATGATGCATCACGAAAGGTATGGGCTTATTGTTTGAAGAGTAAGGATCAAGTGGTTGATCGCTTCAAATTATTTCATGCCATGGTAGAAAGAGAAACAGGGAAGAAGCTGAAGTGCCTGCGTTCAGACAATGGAGGAGAGTACACTTCCCGGGAGTTCTCAGCATATTGCGCCGCATATGGAATCAGACATGAGAAGACGGTTCCACGAACTCCACAGCACAATGGTGTAGCAGAAAGAATGAATCGGACCATTATGGAGAAAGTTCGTTGCATGCTGAGTATGGCTAAACTACCTAAGCCATGCTGGGGTGAAGCTTTGCTGACAGCTTGTTATCTTATAAACAGGTCACCTTCTGTTCCTTTAAACTTTGAAGTGCCACAGAAGAAATGGTCAAGAAGAGATGTTTCTTACTCTCACTTGAAAGTGTTCGGTTGCAAGGCATTTGCACATGTGTCCAAGGAGTTGAGACAGAAGCTTGATCTCAAGTCAAACCCATGCATCTTCATCGGGTATGGTGATGAAGAATTCGGATACCGGTTGTGGGATCCCGAATTGAAGAAAGTTGTACGAAGCAGAGATGTTGTATTTCATGAAAACGAGTTTCATGGGTGTGTTCCAATAATCCGCCAACAACATACTCCAGAAGACGAAGTGCCTGTATCATCAAACATTCCTCTCAGCGACGAGGAGATGCATGATACTACTGAACAAGAGAGTGATGGTTCAGTAGGTGATGATGATACTCACAGTGATGATATTCCTCAGCAGGGGGAGCCTTCATCTGAAGACGAAGCTGAAGGTACTCATGTTCGACGTTCTATGCGAGGCATAGTTCCACAGAGAAAGTATTCCACATCCGAATGGATACTTGTTGCCAGCGAGGGGGAGCCAACGAGCATCGCAGGTACGAGAGAAATAAAGAAAAAGGTGGAGGGGGAGATTTGTAGGATTCTTCCACCTTCTTTCTTGGAAGTTGCCAAGAGGCATCTCACACCTTCTTGGAAGGAGGTCTCCAACATATGAACATGGTGAAGATATGGAGATAACTATGGAAGCTTGGATGCAACTTCCTCTTGTCTCCAAACCAGCCTATAAATAGAGTGTTCTATTGTTGTTCATATCATCAGTTTAGAAAGTGAGAAAAGTGTGTGAAGAGTGAAATACACTTAGAGTAGAAGTGTATTGGTGAGGATTGATTTTTTGTAATAGTTGAGTGTGAGAGTTTGCTCCTCCTATTGTAATTCTGTTCTTGATATTGAATAGAAGAATTTTCCAATCCCAACACATACAAGCAGAAAGATGAAAGATTTGTATAAGTACTCCGAATAATCGCACTGCACCCGAACCTCCCTTGCCAAATTTGAACCATCCTCGTGATCTAATTTTGGTTTTGGCCATCATATGCTAAATTTCTAGTCCTTATATCGTGAGAGTGGTCTATGATGAAAATTGTACTCCCGCAACTAAATCCACGTTCAAATTTATGTTTTATTAAAAAAAATGTGTATGAGAAAAATGAATATGTTTTTGTTTTATTTAACAAAACGTGCATGAGGTAATGTGAACGGGAATAGTAAAGACAATGTATATCCTGTGAACGGAAATGTAACTCGTGTTGATATAAATATAGTCTCAGATAGCGGTAAATGTAAACTTTTGAACTTTTATTCCAGTATATAAAATAAAGAATTGGTGTAAATAAAATTAGTATACAAAAAATAGTGTAACTAAATAGTATACAAAATATAACTTGTGTTACTGGAAAATGTAACATCAGGATTATGAGATGTAAAATGTGGAGTTTTGATTGACAATAAGGGGGTAATGTAAATAAAGGGTATAAACAATGTAACTCACGTTAAGTCATTAACAGAAAAAGAAAATATATCTTGAGTTAAGTCAAAATGTAAGATGTTTAATATGTTACTTGGATAAGTCAAAATGCATAGAAAATAAAAAAATGTTACTCGTGTTATTACAAAATGTAATCTGCATGTGTTGAATATGTAAACCACTTTATGAAAAATGTAAAGTGCTTGTGTTCAATATGTAAGTCATTCTATGCAAAATGTAAACTACGTGTGTCCAATATGTAAGTCTACAAAATGTAATTGTGTGTGTCAAATATGTAAGTGTAATTTATTTTTTTTATGTAACTTATGTAACACGATAAATTTTGTTAGATTTTATATATGAACCACATAAACCGAAAAATGTAAGGTAGAATTTGAAAAACAAAAGCAGACTTTCAAATGCAAATACAATTTTTTTGTTTGTGTTTTTGTTATTTTTAGTCCTCTGACTACTATCTCATTGCCACTTTTGGTACTTGACTTTGATTTTTTCCACTTTAAGTCATTGACTGTTGTGACACAGACACTTTTGGTACCCGTCTTCGAAAATTTTCAGATTTAGTCCTCCGACTTTTATAAAAGTGACACTTTTGGCCTTTCAACTATTACAATAATGACATTTTTAGTCTTCCATTTATTGTCTCAAAATCATTGCGGAAGAACTAAAAGTGTCAATTTGATATATAATACTAAGGGACTAAATGTGAGAAATTTTGAAGTTGAGGACTAAAAATGTCTCTATCACAATAGTCAAGGACTAAAATTGGAAAAATTAAAAGTCGAGTACCAAAATTGTCAAAGACACAATAGTCGGGGGACCGAAAATGGAAAAAACTATTTTTTTGTTTTTGTTTGATAAAACTTTACTTGAGAATTTGAAGTTGAGACTAATAAAATTGTGGGTTTTTAATATTTTTTATGAAGAAAACGAAGATAAACGAAGAAAAAAAAAGGAATAAGAAAAAGAAGAGGAACAAATAAACGAGATGGGCGGACATATCAGTGAAGAAGGGCAACATATGGCTGAAAAAGACGAGGAATAAGTTGCCGTTTTTATTAGCAAAATGATGTCATATTGAGATCGGTATATCATATGCATAATATAACGATCCAACAGTATAATTTACCCTAAATTTGAGACAAATGATATATCCTGAAAAATCAATCTTTGAGTGTTTTGGGTGTTTGAAAATAGAATTGCTCTAAATATATAGAACTTGAATTAAACATAAATGTACAAATAGAACTCAATGATTATAATTCCCTAAACATGACTTCACATTACCATCATACTCTTCTATATAATAATATAAAACCACTTAATTTTATTATGTTTCATGTGCCTACTCAATGTCTGCTTCTAGGGCTATCGCGGCCGTTGCTTCAACGTCACCATCCCTGCCTTCAGGGCTGCCGATGCCGACCCAACAATACCACCACCATCACTCTACACCGCCACCATTGCTGCAATGCTACCGTCGCCACTCCAACCGCCATCGTCGCAGTTAGGGATGAGTTCGGTTCAAACGGTTCGGTTTTCACCTAAAACCAAATACTGAATCAAAGTAAAAAGTTTAGTTTGGTCCGTTTTTATGTTAAAAAAAATTGGAACCACGGTTTGTTCGGTTCAGTTTATTTCGGTTCGGTTTTGGTTTTTTCGAATTTTGCCAAAATAGTTTTGTTGATTAAAAAATAGTAATTGAAAAACAAAAAAAAACTACATCAAATTCTAATTAATAGTAATACAATACAAAAACATAATTTAAAAAGAGAGAAGAAGAAAACGCACTTTCAAGCAATGAATTAGAGAGTGAATGTATACCAATTTCAACATTTTCTAAATTAATTAACTGCATGAGTTTATTTGTGAATTATATGTAGTATATATAGTATATGGAGAGTGATTGCTCTGGAAGAAGGATGCATCTAGAAAAGTTCAGAAATTATGCAACTGAGTTGTTTGGTAAGTTAGCTCCTTCGAGCAAGATTCGAAATAACTAGCTGTTGTATCCACTAATTCATTTGTAAATGTTGTATCCACTAATTCATTTTCTGTTTTACTAAAATACTTTTCTATATAGTAAATAACTTATTCTATAGTTTCACGTTTTCGGATATGTTGTTTAAAATATAGTTTATATTAATACATACTTGTTCAATATAAAAATATGTGATAACAAACATACATAACAAATAATATATCAACAAAATATCATTGCCATGCAACAACAAGTAAAATGTAAATTATGACCTAAAATATCAACATATTAGAATTATAGCAATAGACTTAAGTGTATGAACCAGCATTTCACTTAATTAAACCATAATTATTAAATGTCAATATCTTGCAATTCATAATAAATCTAGTATCAAACATTAATTTTCTAGAATTAAGAACTAAACAAAATATTATACTTAATGATTAATAAATAAAATAGCAAGTTTTATAAAGTTCGGTTTGTTCAGTTTGGTTTTCTGATGTGAAAACCAAAACAGAAACCAAACAATTTCGGTTCGGTTTTTTTAGTTCGGTTTCAGTTTTCTTGTGGTTTTTTTATTTGTTTTCTGGTTTTCGGTTTCACAAACTCACCCCTACTCACAGTAGTATCGCCTATGTTTTCTCCTCATTCTCCTTCTTTTTTAGTTTTTTTGTTTAAAAAAGAGAAAATGTCAAATTAACCCTCATACTCTTACGGAAAGTCAATTCAGCTCCTTACTTTAACTTTCATTAGTTATGCCTTTCAAGTATGAAATATTTGTCAAAAACAATTTTTAACAGGTAACTAGCCGATTAGTCAGTTATCTGATGATGTGGCGCACACATGGACTGACACGATACACACGTGGCAGCCCACCTCGCCAATTTCCCCTTTTCCTTTTTGTTTTACCTTTCTTTTTCTTTTTTCATTTCCTTTTCCCCTTTCTTTCTCTTTCCCGTTCATCCTTTCTTCTTCCTTGGGTTGATTCCTTGGCATGAATTCATCAGCAGGTTTCACCCATGGCTTAAATTCATCCGAGGAGGCATTTGTCTTCTTCCTTTAAGGTGTTGGAAAATATGATAAAATTGCATTAAATGATCAATTTAGGACAATATTTTGAGTGGGGTCCACTTCCGATTTGGGTCGGGTCAAAGTGGTTTTGGATTCTCCTTGTTAAGGCTTCAATTCGATATGTGGTACACTCAAAACGGATAACGGGTGAAAGAGAAATTGATTCTCGAAGTTCACTCGTTGAAATGGAGAAAACTAGGGAAAATGGGTTTCTAGTGTGGTATTTTACACACAGGAAAACCCAAGGGATTTTCACCCCCTTATAAAAGGAACACTCTTTGAAGGAGTTAAGATTCCTAGGTGGAAATGCTCTCTTCGCGGCTTCGCGCGCAGGGGGGTGCTAATCAAATCCCAAAGACGGAGAAGAAAAACTGCGACTTGCGTGTAAGACTACTCCTCATCGCGCCCATAAACCAATTCAATATCAATCATATCTTAAAATCTTCACGAGCTAAGTGTGTGCCTGATATCCAACGAATCATCACACTGTCGCAGGGTTGCTCTCATACCACATGTAACACCTTGACCCCGTGGGACCCGAGGTATAACATCCCGACCACGGATCAAGACACGAACATACACGTTCATACGCACTCTTCACATTGTTTTCGAGCTAAAACACACCTCTCGTTTCCAGAAAACTTCCTAAGTGTTCAGTCCTTGTTTCCGTTCGCCGGAACAGTCGGTTGTGTGCTCGAACGATTGTTCGTTGGCCACCGTATCCTGGGAAACAGTCATTGCAACGCTCCTAGCACTGTGGGAGACAACGAATACGTTTTAAGGACATTGTGCGTTGCACATGCTTTGGCTAATTTTTCTTCCATCTTATTTATGTTTTTCTTTGGCTATTTGGTTAATTTATTTAATTAATTTTCTTAGTTTTTCCGAGTTCACACCAACATAAGGCTCAATTTTGCAGCTCGGGTTTGGGTGAATCTAAATCTAAACAAAGACGAAGTTAACCGGCGATGAATCTAAGCGGTCACGAAGCTTACCGGCGAAAAAGACAGTTGTAGGGAGTGCCGACTTCATCACCGCTTCCAGGTGCTATCTTCTCTGCCGATTGCAAGAAATGGACTTCGGCCAATGGTTGAGTAGAAAACCAACGGGGAAAGAAACAAGTTGATGTGAAAAAGAAACAGGGAGGGACTAAGGGAAAGACAATGGAAAAGCAAGGAAAAAGAATACTAACAGAAAAATGGTGGTATGGGTGTGACGTATGCGCGCACGTCAGCACGTAACATAATGATTGACGGGTCACCTACTAAAAATGAATTTGATGGAGTTTTAAGAGGAGGACATAATTGAAAAAAGTTAAAGCATGAGAGCTTAATTGACTTTCCGTACACAGTAGAAGAGTTAACTTGACACTTTTCTTTA